GGGAAAGGGAAAGTTAGGTTTGCATCCCAGGAAAACCCAAGCATAGATCACCCCTGCTGGAAGATTCTGAGACAATGGAATGGACAGACAATGGAATCATTTCCACTAGCCCCTGGAAAGAACTTGACAATGACTTTAAGGAACAAACTGGGGGAGGCATGATGGTTGGAGTTAGACCTATGGAATTCCATGCTTCTAGTCCAGGACTGAGGGAAGAGTGCTTTGACATTCAAAGATTGTGTTTCACATCCTTTGGGCTATGGCCAGGCCATCATCCCCAAGGTCTCCTACCCAAGCTCCCAAGGACCTGAGCTCTGAGACAAAGTAACTTCAAACTATTTCACCCATTAAGATAAATGCTTAATAAATGTGTGTTGCCTGTCTGTCCTACCATTCCCAACCCCTCACTTCCACTCCCAAACAAAGCTTTCCAATTTTTATGGTGCTGAAGTTGATGTCAGAGATCCTTGGGTTCAAATCTCAGATTTACCACTTGGTAGCCATTACACTGGGCAAGTCATTTCACCTCTCTGGACCTCAGTTTCTCCATCTGTAAAATGAAAGGCTTGGACTAGGTAACCTCCGAGGTCCCTGTTTGCTATGAGCCTATAATCCTGTCAGGTGGAATTCCTTGCTTCCTCTGCCTAGGCCCAAAGAAGTTGGAGAGAGGATAGAAACACAGTTTGCATCTCCAGAATCAAGTAAATTTAAGGACACAAGTGAGCAACTGGCTTGATGCAGGGAATCGTAACAAATATAGCCTAATATAACCATAGCTCCCTAGACTTACTGCTGTAATAAAACTCCTCTTCTCCCATTGAGGAGGAAAGTGACAAATTCTTAGAGAATTTATTCTCAGCATTTCCCTCTCCCCCTCCCCCACCTCAAAGCTTCATAAAAATGGAAATTAATTGTCCTAAGAAATAGTCACACTTATATAGCATTTTAAGGCTTACAAACTGTCTTCTGAATAACAGCCTAGTGAGGTGTATAGTTTATTATCATGTCCATTTTACAGATGAAGAAAACTGAGAGGTTAGGTTCCTTAAAATCTTTAGAAACTAATAATACTTATAATCACATGACTAACTTTGATGGACTTAGCTCTTCTCAACATTGCAGGGATCTAAGACATCTCCAAAAGTCTCATGATGGAAAATGCTATCCACATCCAGAGAAAGAACTATGGAGTTTGAACGCAGATCGAAGCATGCTATTTGCTCTTTTTTTTCCTTCTGTTTTATTTTGTTTCTTCTTTCTTGGGTTCCTCCTGTTGGCCTTAATTCTTCTTTACAACATGACTAATATAAAAATATGTATAACAGGAATATATACATAGAGCCTATATCAGATTGCACACCTTCTTGGGGAGGGAGGTGTGGAAGGAGGGGGAGAAAATTTAAAACTCAAAAGCTTATGGAAGTGAATGTTGAAAACTAAAAGTAAATTAATATTAAAAAATACTTATAATCACACAATCTAGGATCAATTTAGATTTGGAACACACTCTGTGACTGCTTTGTACCTATCTTATATTTACTTACATATGTGCATTTTGTTTTTGTCCAACTCCATAGAATGAATGTAAGCTTTCAGAGGGCAGATGCTATTTTCATTTCTGTCTGTACATCTAGCCCCATCTGGCATGAGGTAGACACTTAATAAATGTTTATTGAATTGACCTCAAGAGTCCAACCCACTCAACCTTAAGAATGTAAAGTGACTTGCTCAAGGTCACAGAGGTAGTAACAGAGCTAGGATATTAACTCAGGCTTTCTGGTGCCAAATCCCCCCACTCTTTTCCCTCCACCAGGTTGTGTCCTCTATTCAGTGTCTAATCCAAGATTCAAAGCCAGGTTTCCTGACCACTACACACTGACTCAAGAAGACTGGAGCTGTTTAGCTTACCTTCCAGCTAATAATGCCTATGAACCAAGGTGGAATAAGCCATGCATAGCTGTCCAAGTAAGCATTTTTTATAATAGAGGCCATAGATCCCAAGATTCTTTCTTCCCTGGGGAAATACAGAAATGGCAAGTGACCATAAAAGATCTGAAAAAATTCCTGCTGTTCTTAAGGGCTCAACTCTGCCTGCCAAGGGGTCAGCATTTAGTTGGAGAAATTCTTCATCTTTGAGTCTTCCTTACATTTGCACTTTTATCCCCTATGCTCACATGTCCAAATCCTCTGACGTTAGACAAGTGATATAATCTCCCTGGGCCTCAGTTTCCTCATTTGTAAAAAATAAGCTATAATTTCAGTTAGTTGGCCCCTGAGGTCACTTCCAGCTCTAGATCTGTAAACCCATGATAATGAGCATCTCTGTCTCTCCTAGAAAGAGAAGGGTGTCTGAATTGTGTAAGTTCGATTGGGTAGACTGTTGGCTATGAAAATAGTAAAACCTCTCACTTGGGGTTAGGGGCTAGAGGTGGAATAGAGAGAGGAACTCTGATGGTTAAACCTTTGGCTCAAATGAGAAACAACTCTGCTATAACTACTGCTTACTCCTAATCTCCTTCACACTAGGCAACTTTCAAACCCAGCTATCCTCTCCAAGAACAACCTTCCAGGGTCAACCTAGACTGAAGAAGAATTTTAAGGAAGGGGCAGGTGAACTGCCTGGGAAAGAAAGGGGCCATGACACTCCCTAAAAAGGAAAAGTGTTAGCCTGAAATGTTATTAGGGAGTCACAGAGCCAAGCCAGACATCTTAAAGCCTCCAGGGGGGGCCAGCTCCTGAAACCCCATTTAGTCCAGAAAGTCTATCCAGACTTATTAAACCTCCACCGAGCTACTTAACTCAGCTCACACATGTAAATGCCGTGTTCATTAGCACATTTTTCCTGTGTTCACTTTAGCCCAATTCAACAAATATTTATTTAAAGTCATATGCACAATGTACTGTGCTAGACTAACTGGTAAGCTCTTTATGGAAAAAGACCATGTCTTATATTGCTCTCCGTCCCCCATACTTGATATTGGTCCTTGACACATAGTAGGTATGCAATAGTTTATTTTCCAGATCAGTGTCTCTTAGTTTGCAAGGTTCCAGATTTTGCCTGTATGGACTGCATAGAATATTATTAAGTAGGCCCTTAAAGTTTCTAGGCTGGTTGGTAGACATTCCTGGGATCCACAGCAGGCCTGAAAGATCGGTCCCTTTGAAGATTCCAGGGCCATCAGAAGTAATCCAGACATCAGGGAAATATCTCTGCTTATATTTTCCAGTTTTTCTTCTGGGGGATGGGCCACCCATTGAACACCATCATCCATCTGTGGAATTCATGCATGATAGATTCTGGTAACTGACTGTACGGATGAGCCCCTTGCGAACAAGGGGCAATAACCCCCAAAAAGTCCCCTCCCAGGCCTCTGTCCACATCTTCCAAATTTACTTCTGCAATTGCCACCAGCAGGTATGCTCTTCTAGCCTACGCTTCTACTGCCTTTCCTTCCCAAACCCCTCTGCTCTTGGCTCAATCCTGCATGCTTATCCACAGTGCATTCCATCAATCCCACTTAATAGGGGATGGACCCATAGCGGGCTGGCCCTTGCCAGTAGGGAATTATGGAGTGACCAGATGGAGGGGTAGAGGCTGGCCATCCTATTGCCCGAGGGGAGGGCATGGTAGGGAGGAAAACCTCAAAGATTAATTAGATTTAAAATACATAATTCATTTCATGCCCTGAACACTGCATTTGGCTACAACTGAAGAAGACTGCAATAATTAAATTGTGTTTTACTTTATATGCTTGGGGTGAAGTTTCTGGATTCAAAATGCAAACTTATGCCAAACAGGCAAACATCAAATTGTATGTGTGTGTGAAACTGAAAATAAATTTTTTTTCTATCAGCCCTTCTTTGATATGAAGTAGAGAGCAAAGGAAAAGCAGGCAAACTGTAGCTTCTGAACCTATGCAGCCTCCCCCACCCATCTGTCCCTCTCTCTCCAGCACTGCCCCCCCCATATAATTAGTTCATGTGTCATAGGGAGAATAATTAGCAAATTTGTTAACTAGGGTGCAAGTGGAAATAATGTTTGCTCAAACCAGTGTGCAGGATTCTTTAGGAGCATTGGCATCTTAGAAAGCTACTGATAACATGCAATGATATTTTCTATTGTTCGCCTCAAGTCACAGGGAACTCTAGATTAGTCTTAAAACAGTGGGCACTAGGTTCTGATAGGTCTTACACTCATTTTTCTGAAACTAACCAAAACTTAGCTCTTATCTAAGAAACATCAACCAGATATATTGGTATACACGTGTGTATATTCCCATTCTTTTGAGTACGTATATACCAGTACATGTCTTCTTTCTTCTACACAACAGATTCCCAGGCAACTTAATACCCAAAAGTAGCTCATGTGATTGAGTCAAAGGGATAGCCTTCCTTGGCAAAAGTATAAAATAAGGGGGTTGGGTGGGGACGGGGTGAAATGCATGCATACACATGTACCCCTGACCACTTTCTGCCCCACCCACCCCTTACCTCCTCAAAAACCACCAACCTACTCACCCTTTAGCACTAGAAACATGGACCTGTTCTGTCCCTTACGACCTTTCCACCTGCCAAGTTGACCCAGGCCTTTTAACCTGGCTTATTCTTCTCTGGTGGCATAATACCCTGGCCACCCAGGAATTGCTTGGTACTATCCTCCCATGATCAGAGACTTCTCTCCTGAGTTTCATTCTTTCAAACCAGGCTTTGTCTTCTAATTTGGGAGAAAGCTGGGGAGCCCCCATGATCTTGGGAAATGCATGCATTGTAATAAATTTGTAAGCAAGGCCTGCTTTGTTCAATCTAGGGGAGTAATAATAGAAGGGAAACATAGGACCATGGCAAGCTAGTGAAGGAAGAAAGCTGTGGGCAGGCAGGTTCTGTGTCAATTCTTCCCCCTCTTCCCTCATCCTACTGTTGTGGAACTCTGCCTAGGAATGGAGTGCATTCACCCTGGCTGCTGAGTTTGCTGCTGAATACTTAGCAACTACACCAAGGACTGGAATCTTGTAAAACTTTCCCCTTTAATGTACATTTGGTCCCCGATATCTTCCCTGGGGCTCTGGCATCTTAAATACATTTGACTGAGAAAGCCCAGAATAGGGCCCTTAACAAGAACAGAGCAACAATTACAACAATAAAATGTACATATAAGTCACTTCTTTGGAAATCATTTTCTGATTCTTCCTATTATCACCCTTCTCTCCCCCCCCGCCCCCTCCCCCTCCACTGCAGATCACAGTTCCCTCCTTCACCCTGGGCCCCAGATGGGGGATCCATTCACACACTTGTCTATCAACCCCAGTGCTTTATGGGGTCCAGTGTGGACAGAACCATGGCCATCTTCCCTTTTCCCCAGACACAGCAGAACAAGTACAAGGGGTCAGACTGAAATGAGAAAATCAACAAGAGGCCATTTCCAGGCCCTCGGACAAGGAGCACCCAGTCTCTCCCAGACTTCTAAGCCTCAGGAGGTCAGAGATTGTTTTATTGAAACGCTGTACCTCTCCTAGTACCAAGCACCATGTGCTCCACACAAGATCCCCTTTAAAAGTGTCTGCTGATTTGAATTAAATTGAACTCTTCTCTAGCTCTGAGGAGTATCAGCCAACACTGACCCTCAGTGGGCCATCCCAAGCACAAAAACCAAGAAAGTTTAAAATTAAAAAAAAAAGTTAAATTTTCTTCTCCTGTGCCTGAGGCAAAGAGAACACAGAGTGTGGAACAAGGAGAGGTTCCAACAAGAAGATACTGTCCCTCCGTGGTTCAGGAACATCACTTAGACTAAGAATGGAACTAGCAGCCCATCTATGTGTAGGACACTAGCCAGCACACACGTGTACCAGGGGAGACTTTCCCTCCTAAAGCAAAAGCTTCAGGAGGCAAATAGCCTGGTGCTTCCTAGAGAAAACTCTGTGTGTGTGTGTGTGTGTGTGTGTGTGTGTGACCAAATTCTAGGCAGGTGCTGCCCCCTCCCCTCGAATCAACTCCTTTTACCTCTGAAGCCCCCAGAATTTCTGAGCCTCTAAGGTATCACAAGAGAGACCACAGGGCTTGCTTGTCTAGAGAATAAAGCAAGACTGCCATGGCACTTCATTACACAATCGGGCACTCCTGTGCACACCACCCCCCCAGCCCCAATCCCTGAGAGTACATAGATCTAATAAAGGCATTTCTGAACTGGAATGGAGGAGGGAAATCAACTGTGGTGTAAAATTATTAATTTAAAAAGTATTAAAAACTACACACACACACACACACACACACACACACACACAAACAACAACAACTGGAAGTCAGGAAAAACAGTTCAGCTGCCTGGTCCTCATTTTCTTCAGGGTCAGGCATGAGCTGAGCTCCAGAGGCTCTGGCCACAGGTACTGACCACATAGGATGCCCTAGTCTAAGCAAAGTGGGGGGACACATTTAGAGCTTCTCTTCAGGGAGAAAACACAGAAGGCTTAGCAAAGTCTCTCAGATCCAAACTCAGGGATGGGATTGGGGGAAAATCTGTGTCCCTACACTTCAGATACTAAGTTGAGACACAGGCTCTGCCCAGCGTTCCTCCATACCCATTTCCTAAGAGTTTGTTTGAGGCTGGGGCTGGGCCTGAGCTAAGTTTGAGGCTCCCAGGTAGATTCATGGTCCCCAGAGACAAAAGGATGTAGTTCATATCCTGGAGGGTCCTCAGAAGAGGGACGAGTCCATTGGCCCATCCTCAATCTTCATATGCATGTGTGTGAGGAGAGGACAGCACATGTAGGGCAACCCCTACACTCCCGTCTTCTCTTTAATCCAGTTCCGAAGCACAGAGACTCTGGTGTAGACACCTGGCTTGTTCCGTCGAGCACAGCCTTCACCCCAGCTCACCACCCCAGCCAGGAACATCCGCCCATCATCTTCCACACTGGAGAGAGGGCCCCCTGAATCACCCTAAGAGAAAAGAAATCCCACATCACACGAGAACCCTACATAAGTGCTCCATCTCCTAGACCCCCTCTATCACTGGCCTCTAACCCTACGCCAACTCTCACTTCCCAAACATCCTCAATGCCTCCTCACCTGTTCACCCCCCCCATCACACCATCTTACACACACACACATTCATTCTCTCTTTCTCTCTCTCTGCCTCTGTCTCTCCTCTGTCGGTCTCCCTCTCCTGTCTCTGTCTGTCTCTGTCTCTCTCTCTTCTCTCTTTGTCTCTCTCTCCTGTCTCTGTTTCTCTCTGTCTCTGTCTCTCCTCTGTCGGTCTCCCTCTCCTGTCTCTGTCTGTCTATTTCTCTGTCTCTGTCTCTGTCTCTCCTCTGTCTCTCTCTCCTGTCTCTGTCTCTCCTCTGTCGGTCTCCCTCTCCTGTCTGTCTCTGTCTCTCTCCCTCTCTCTGTGTGTGTGTGTGTGTGTGTGTGTGTGTGTGTGTGTGTGTGTGTCTCTCTCTCCTCTTCCCCCAGCCCCGTCACGACATCAGCCCCTCTTGTAGGAACCTTCCCTCTCCACTCCAAAATTGGCAGCAGCCTACCTGGCAGGCATCAATACCTCCATTGAGGAAGCCCACGCACATCATACGGGGGGTCAACTGGTTGGGTAGCAAAGACTCGCAAGTGGTCTGATTGATCACTCGGATCTCCCCCTTCTGTAGGATCAATGCCCCAGTGCCTGGCAGTTGGGAAGAAGGAGCAGAAGAACATCAGCTTGGCTCCTCTGTCGTCTCAGCTTCCCACAGCAGAATGACATCCCCTCTGCCCACATCCAGATAGCTCCCTCCCCCACTCCACCCAGCCCTGCCTTTTCCTAAGAAGGAAGCCATCAGAGTCAACATTCACCCTGGGGGCAGAGGAGTTACCTGTCCAAGGAAGTGAGCCCACAATGGGGAATGAAAGAAGGGGAATCAGGAGAGGGTGGTGAGGTAGAAAGGAAAGTCTTTCCAGGGACCCTCTGAGCCCATGAGCCAGGCTCTCACCTCCTTCCTTAGTGTGCCCCCAGCCTGTCACCCAGATGGCCTTGCCCGCAGGGAAGGTGTGGGATGAATCAGGAAGGCAGATGGGCCGAATTAAAGGGCTGAACTCGACAGGTTTGTCCAGCTCCATAACAGCAATATCGTAGTCAAAGGTGAAGTCGTTAAAGGCAGCGTGGGAGATGATCTGTTTGAATCCCCTCTCTTCCACCCCTTCGGCATTGGGCTTGCTCTGGTCATGCAGCCCCAGGTAGGCTTTCCATAAAGAGGGCTCAGAGTACCTGGGAAACAGGAGAGACAATGTCACGTTAGACAGCACGGTCCTTGTGGGAACAAGGAAAGAAGGCTGGGACGGAAAAAAGAGGGCTCTGGATGCAGGACTTAATTCTTTTATTGGTTTATTCAGTAACACTGGGCACACACCATGACCTCTCTGTGCTTCAAAACAGGAACACTGATATTCATTGTTTCAACGAATATCGATTAAGTTCCTGCTATGGAAGGGAAGTGTGGTGTTGTAGGAAGAATGCTGGGCTTGGAGGGAGGAGACCCCTGAGCATAAATACTGCCTCTGATGCTTAATAGCTGCCTAAGCATGAGCAAGTCAGAGGGAGTGGGACAACGTTTGTTATCTCACCCCCAATCCAGGTCCAAGGGCCCCTACACTGAACGAACATTCATGAGAAGCCTGAAGCCAGATTCCTCAACCCCCTGTCCCCCATTCCTCAAATCTTCTCAGCTTCACTATTTCCTCTCCCTTTCTCTCTCATCACAGAAAGGGAAATATCCGTCATGTTCACTAAAGTTAATCCCTCTAACTATCTTCGGCCCCACTGCCTCCGCCATACCCAGACCAGCAGTCATACATATCAATCTCTGCCTCTTCACTCCAGGGAAGAGAGAGAGACTGAGGCTGATGACTTTGCACAGCCCTGCCTCACTTAAATCTAATTCATTTGCAAGTCAAGACACCACCCTCCAGATGCCATTCTCTTCCAGAATAAAGAATCAACAGCAACTTTTCTCCACCAGCCTACAAATATCTTCATGTCTTCCCGATGATAAAAAGGCTTTCATTTGACCCAGCTAGCTGCTGTCTCATATTTCCCCCCTCTTTGCTTTTTTGGGGGGATTCATTTTATGTTACTTTGCTATCACATAAAGCATTCTCACAAGGCTTTTTTGGAACTACAATCAACAATTATCAACAAACAATGGTGGTTCAAACTTTCCAAGAAACAGTCATTGGACAAATGTGACACCCTCTCACGGGTAAACAAATCTGCAGTTTATTAAGAAATGACAGGAAGGGGCAGCTAGATGGCGCAGTGGATAAAGCTCCGGACTTGGAGTCAGGAGGACCTGAGTTCAAATCCAGCCTCAGACATTTGACACTTACTAGCTGTGTGACCTTGGGCAAATTACTTAACCCCAATTGCCTCACCAAAAAAAAAAAAAGACATGCACTTTAATTTGCCAAAAAGCAACATTTGTATCCTGGTAGTTACATGCTATTTCTATTATATAGCAAAGTGGATAACAGAACTACAAAGGCAGGATAAGGGCACTTTTATTGAAGGAGGGAAATTGTCCAATGAAACAGCAGCAACAGAAGAGTATGAAAACCTTTTGTAGTCACAGATAAACTATGGACTCCAGGACTTATTTTACAGTAGGCATATTTCTTTTACTTTTTGGAGGCAATGAGGATTAAGTGACTTGCCCAAGGTCATACAGCTAATAAGTGTCTGAGGCCAAATTTGAATTCAGGTCCTCCTGACTCCTGGGCTGTTGCCCTATCCACTGTGCCATCTGGCTGCCCCAAGCAAATGTGTTTCAGATCATGATCCCTAACCCTAAAATGCCAAACTTGCTTCCATTTGACCCAATGCTTCCAGATTCTTCCTTAAAAGAAATACGTAAGAAGAGCATGTGAAAGTTGTTTGCCGAAAGAAAAACCCTGAAAAATAAGGTAGGAATATGGGGGATAGGGGAAGCTACCTAAAACACTCGAGTTTCATTTAACTACATTTTCATATCTTCACTGTAATAGACAAAACACAGTCAATTGCAAAACTGGTTCAGATTTTTTTAAAAAAGAAAGTGAAAAATAGTATGCTTTAATCTGCATTCAGACTCCATCAGTTCTTTCTCTGGAGGTGGATAGCATTTTTCAGCATAAGTCCTTCAGAATTGTCTTGGATCACTGAACTGGTGAGAACAAACAGCTAAGTCATTCACAGCTGATCATCATACAATATTGCTGTTACTGTGTATAATGTTCTAGTTCTGCTCACTTCACTGTGCATCAGTTCATTTACGTCTTTCCGGAATTTGTTTTTGGTTCAGATTTTCAAATACTAGGCTTTTTTGTCCTCTATGTAAATGTTTGCAAGTTACTTATATTTAAATGAAATGAAGTTATTAATATTTTTTCTCCAACAGCAGCTGCACACCAGAAAGGCCAAGACAGACACAAAGCAGGGAATGAAGTGTTCCCAAAGCTGCAGTGTGAAAAGACTATAAATGATTGATTTCATACACATGGATGGTTCTCTGCTATAGGAAATCCAAGTGGAGCTATAAGGAATGAAGGCGTGTAAAAAGGTTTTCTGGGAGAAAGGAAGGTGACATGGGGTCATCTTCCTGCATGAATTTTAATTTTCTACATCTTCTGCAGCACCAACATTCTTCTTCTGCACTGTCTGATGTCCCTACTGTTAGGTTGTCTCTAAGCAACTGCATGTTCATTCAGTGTATCAAGCTCAGCAACAGCCTCATCAAAAGCCGTTTTAGCCAATGTGTATCTGGGTTATAAAGGAGCTCATCGTAAAATACAGTAAAGTTAGAGCCAGCCCCAGGAGAACTGGTCACATCTCCTCCTTGCTGCTGTCAAATGCTTCTTGGGAATTATCTACTGTTTGTCTTCAGTCATGACCACAGGCTACTTCATCAAAGTACAGAATAGATGTTATTTCAGTAATCCAGGCAAGACATGACAGAGGCTTAGGGCTGCAAAGGCCTTAAGAAATCATGACAGAAGACCCTGCTCTCTGAATTAGTCTCATTGGCTATTGAAAACGTATCCAACAATAATTCCAGGATGGTGGTGCAGATGGACTCCACTTTCTCCTCGTAGTCCCTGACCAACTGTACCTCCTTGTCAGTTTTCTGCTCTGTGCTGGAAACTGCCCTCCCAGCTGACCTGCATACGGCACCCCCGCAACCCAACTACATTCTTGTAGACCACCACAAGCAGACCACACTCCTCGTTGGACAGCTCGGGCCCCCTGCTCAGTCACAACCCTCATGGAGGTGGCCATCGTCATATCACTCAGCCAGCTTGACCTGGATCATCTCAGTCTTCTCCATAGTGGACAGGTGGGAGTGGGGCAGAGGCAATGGCATAGTAGCAGCCGGACTGGGGAGAGGAAGAAGCAGCACGAAGGGTGGTGGCAGGAAAGAATCAACCCATATCAGGAAGAGTCCTTGAAAGCCATCCCGTCGGCCTCAGCCACTCCTCCCCCTTCACTTTTAAACATAAACAGCAATCATTTCTGTTTTGGCCAGAACCTCTGAGGGGTCTTTCCCTCTCAGATTGATTTTTTTTTAAACTAGGTTAAGAGGCCATTCTCTGCCTCATTTCTTACCTAGCCTTAATCACTGAATGGATGTTGCCTCAGTCATACTGAGACCTGTTAAAGACCTTAGCTTAAAAGGGCCAAGGTCTCCCACTGCATCCAGGGCCATCTCCAGTTGTCCTGATCAGTATCTGGCCACTAGACCCAGATGGAGGAGAAGAGAGGCTGGTGACTTTGCACAGCCCTCCCTCACTTAAATCCAATTCACTTGTATGTCATGGCATCACCTCCCTGATGTCATGGTCCTCTTGGAGAACGAAGGACATAGAACAACAAACTTCCTAAAAAAGCTGTGACTATTCAATAGCTCTAGATTCTCATTACTCCCCTTTCCTCATGTTCTAAGGCTGTGAATGACCTCCCATTTACCAAATTCGGTGGCTTCCTACTGTCTACGGTCTTCTTCCTAAGTCTGAAAGATGTCATCCTCTCCTAGTTCACATAGCTGTCTACTTACTCCGCCACTGGGAATTCATCTTCTTTCCCTCTTCCCCACCCCATAATGTGGATTATTATTCAAGAGTCCCTTCTTGGTCCTCTTCTTTTTTCTCTCCATATCCTCTTTCTTGGTCATCTTCATCAACTCCCTTGTGTTCAATTATGACTTCTGCACAGATGACTTTCCAACCTATACCTCTACTTCCCCCCATACTCCTTCCTGAACTACAGTCCTACATCACCAGCTGCCTGCTATACATCTCCACCTTCATATCAATAGACATCACAAACTCAACAAGTCTAAAACAGAATTTATCATTTTCAACCTTCACCCCCCAACCCAAAAAAACTGCACTCCTGCTTTCCTATTGCTGTTGTAGGCACTACCAAGCCTCGTGACTCAGAATCATCTATAACTCTTCCCTCTCTCACCATGCCCTCCCCCATTGTTGTTGTTCAGTCATTTTCAGTCATGTCCGACTCTTCATGACCCCATTTGGGGTGTTCTTGGCAAAGATACTAGAGTGGTTTGACATTTCCTTCTCCAGTTCATTTTAAAGATGAGGAAACTGAGGCAGACACAGCTAAGTGACTTGCCCAGGGTTACACAACTTCTAAGTGTCTGAGGCCAGATTTGAACTCAGGAAGACAAGTCTCCCTGACTCCAAGCCCAACATTCTGTCCACTGTGCCACTAGCTGCCATTCCTTCCCCCCAGCCATATCTAAACGGTTGTCAGTTTAATCTCCACAATATCTCTTGCATCTATCTCCTTATCTCCATTCAAAATTCCACCAACCTTGGTTCAGTGTTCCAATTCTAGTTCTCCTACTTACTAACTATGCAACCTTAGACAAATAACTTGGCTCTCAGGTTCCCTGTCTCTAAAATGATTTCTTAAGGCCTTTGCAGCTAAGTCTATGATGCTGTGATAAAGCCGTTATCACTTCTTGCCTAGATAACTGAAATAACATCCTCCTTCCATCTATCCCTTTCCAATCCATCCCTGCCAAAATAATCTTCCTAAGTCACAGGTCTGACCTGACCACATAATTTCCTGACTCGGTGGGTGTTCAGTCCTAAATCATCATTGCTTGCAAGTGATCATGGACATTAAATCAGCAAGGTGACCTGTGGTCTCCATTATATTATAGTATCTGCCTACCCAGACTCTCCACTACGGCTCTTTCTAAAAAGCCCTGCCCTGCCCATGAGTTGGCATGACTCATGAAAAGACCAACATGCTCTGTAAAGTATTTCATAAAACACAAAGCAGGGATACCTGTTCAATACTGCAAGGAGATGAAGGAAGCCCACAGAAGATACAAAGAAGCTTCCCTTCTCCCTGTCCCCCCATCCCCACCCTATGTGTTCCAATCCCAGGTAGAGCCTCTAAGAATATAGCCACCTACCTGATTCCTAACTCATCCATGAAGCAATGGGCTGCAGAGACAAGCCAGGTGGAGGAGATTAGTGATGCCCCACAGAGGTGACCCTGGCCCTCTGCATGGAGGCTCACCTGCCATGGCCACTCTCCTTCATCTGAGTTCTGGCCTCCAACAATCCTTGACTTTTTACTGAATGACCGGAGTCCACAATCTATTGAGTGATGGGAGAGAATCCAGGTAGGGTGTGTGAGCTGGGAGGAGGAAGCCCCCCATTGCCCAAAGGCCCATTCTGCCGGCCCCAGAGAATTAAAATGGAGACTTTTCTCTAGGAGCCACCTCAGATATGGACTAATGTTATAATAAAGCTATAACCATCGAGGGCCCTGACATGCTCCTTTGAAGCACATTCTCAAATGCCTGGTCAGGTCAAATTTTCCCAAGGAATTTTAACTCCTACCCCCCCGAGTCTACCCCAGGAGATCCTTTGGAAGCTTAAGTTACCTGTTTTAGCTCCCTTTCCCCCTGGCTGGTGTGAATTTAGGAGAGTTCTGATTTTTAGTTACATTTTAGTTTCAAAGGTTTTAAACCATTCCTCCTTTGCATATATTTACATACAACATTTCAAGAGGCTCTAAAAGAAAGGTAAATTCACTTAACTGCTACAGCTGTATTCAAATTCAGGGCTTGAAACACCTGAAAGGCAGCCCAGATTCCCAACCACAGAGCTGATAAGAAGGAGTTGGGGAAATGGCCAAGGAAAGCCATGTTCTGGTTTTCTCCCTTCCTGATGGCTACAGAGGCTAACATAGTAGGAGGCTGGCTCCCCTCAGCTGCTTCCTACAAATCAGGGGCAAAGAGAAACCCAAAGTAAAGGGACCACATCTGGGCCTGCCCTGGATGTCCATACCACAGTTCTGCTCGTCCGAGCCATCACTACAGTCATTCTTCCCATCACACTCAGGGTTCCCTTTGCTCAGACACACTCCATTGAGGCACTTGTACGTGTAAGTGGTGCAGGGGACAGTCCGAACTGACAACAAAAGGGGAAAAAAGGTCAAAGCTGAGGATGGGGAATAAGACTCCATTCTCTCCTGTAGTGCACGTTGTCAGGCTCAGGAAGTCAGCACCAAGGTGAAACATCCTGGCCACACCAGACATAAATTACTCCAACCCACAAACTGTTTGTCTTGTTTTATTTTTTGAGACTGGGCCTCCCTCTCTCACCGAGGTTGGACTTGCAGCAGCCACTCAAAGGCCCAATCCCACTACTGATTAGCAGGGAAGTTTGGACATGTGGCTTTTCTGACCTAAGCCTGGTCGCCCTGGGCAATTTGGTGGCCCCTGCTCCTGAGGTTTACCATGTTAAAGCAGACACCCATTCTGCTTTAACTCCACTACAGCTGCGAACTCCCAAACCCAAGCTATCCATCAGATTCAACTTCTGCGACAGCAGGAATTATAGTAGGTACCTCCATGCCCAGCCCATTAACTTCTAATACAGTTTGCAGCTCACCCTGCCCTGGGACCACCAACCCATATCCCAACCATGCCTCAAAACACTTCTCAAGATTCACCACCTTCTAGAAGTTTTCCCTCACTTCCCATTCCTTTCCCACTCTGCTCCCACCAAATAGTATGCAGTGTTGTCTGCATTTATTGAATAATATTTGTAGATACATTGCTTTGTATGCATCCTAATACCTTTGAATGGGTGCTATATCCCACTTAGACTGCATGTCTCCCTGAAGGTCAGAGAGCCTGGTTTATTTCTCACTTGTGCACCAGTTACGAGGTGTATACTCAATTCAGCATCCTCAATGACTGAAGCAAGGGAAAAGCAGATGGAGTGAAACACTCCTAATACCCCAGAGGAAGTGGGTCTGTTCTAGAGGCAATCTCTGATATCTTGAACCCCAAATTCCCAAGAGAGGTCCCCAACCTCTGCAACAAGCCCAGAGCCAAGCCCTGTGCTAGGGCAGCTCTTTTTTCAGCCCTTACCACTATCACATTCAGCTTCATCACTCCCGTCTCCACAGTTATCCTGCTTATCACATTTCTGGCTCTCCGAGATGCATTTTCCATTGCCACACTTGAAGGTCTGAGCTGGGCAGCCTGAAAAAGCACACAGCCTCAACAAACAGCTAATTGTTTCTCTCTATCCCATGACATCCCACTATCCCAAGACAAGCCACCACTGTCCCTGAGAACAGTGGTGTCAAACTCAAATAGAAACGGCTCTCAGTGGGCCACATATTGACTTGGAAAACCACAAATTAACATCATCTAGTAATTTTATCAATTTAATTAAATATCTCTCAGTTACATTTTAATATGGTTTGGGCCACACAGAGTTTTGCCAATCACTTGTGGCCCAGCTGCAAGTTTGAAGCCTCCCCCATGAGATACTGAAAAAGGGTCAATGGGACAGGCATCAACTTTGCCTCTGAGGAAAGAACTCAGGCCCCTTCCCGAGGAGCCCAAAATGCCCAGGGAACCCTGAAAGGAATTACTCACTGCATTGCAGCTCATCACTGTTATCCCCACAGTCATTCAGGCCATCGCAGACCCAAAAGATGGGCTTACAAAATTTGTTCTTGCAGGTGAACTGGTAGGTTGAGTTACACACTGTTGGAAGGATGAGATCAGAAGAGGCGTGAGCAGCAGAGTGATGGAGGAATGAGGGCATTTTCACAAACAAGGGATTTAGGGGGCATGAATCTCAGGTAGCACATCTGGTGATTCTCTAGGAAAGCTTAGCCAAGTATCAATATTCCATAAGTAGAAGGGGAAAAAAAAAGCAATACCTAGAGTGTTCAGGGCTACAGGGCAAATGCTGCAGAAATGCTTCATCTCCAATTCAGGCAAAAGATTACAGAGATTCACAAACCAGACCGGGGCGGGGGGGGGGGAACTGAAGAGAACCTCTACTATACAGTTATCCCTTCCACATGGCAGGGGTTAGGTGCATGGCAACCCCACAACTTGAAATCTGAGTAATATTTTTTGACCTTCCTTTCACACCAATGAAGAAGTCTGAATAATTATGGTATTAAAAGATAAAATATGTTGCTATCACACAATACCATACATACATTTTGTGCATTTCTGAGTTTCTAAACTTTTTCTGTGTCATCTGCTGGCTTTAGCATGTCATCTCACAAAACTCCCCCAAAATTCCCATTTAATTTCTTGTGCCAACCTGTGATATATCGAAACCATGATGGGGAAAGTCACAACGTGGAAGGGATAACTGTATTTCCATGTGAGGAAGGGTCTCCCAGTGAGCTCCAGGTTCATCCTATGACAGGCACAGGACAGCCACTTTCTGGGGTGGGGGAAGGAATGGGGAGGGTCCAGCAGTATCCATAGGATTAAGGAGTCATGGGGTATTATGTTCCCACACGGGCAAGGCAAGAGGCTGGGTGAGTGGGCAGCTGAGCTAGGGAGGAGTCACAAGGCCAGGGCCACTATCTTGGAAACCAAGTCTATCCCATAGCAGACTCCCTGACTTACCACACTCAAGCTCATCACTGAAGTCTGCGCAGTCAGCCCAGCCATCGCAGCGCAGGTTCTTGTCGATACAGCGTCCCGTTTTGCAGGTGAACATGCCAGGGCAGGCTGTGGGGAAGGGGGTAGACGAAGAAAAGTGGGAGGGACAGGCTAGGCCTGCAGTTCTCATGCCAACTCTACTAACGCTCCACTAGCAGACTGTTACACCTCTCTATTACAATCAAGGCATCTTTCTAGTCACACAATGAATAAAGAATGGAAAACACCTTCCATTTCATTCTGAGGCCAGCAGGGCTGGAAGGGCTCAGGGCAAGGACCACCTGCTTCAAATATAAAACTCCTGGTCCCATCAATTGAGTGGATTTCTGAAAAACCCTTACTCAGCATCTAAGGGCAAGGACTATAACAAGAGATAGCCCTGGACACCAGTGGATGCAGATCAGAGAATTCTAGTGAAATCTCTTTGGAAGTTTTGGACTTCCAGAGAGACCATGATAAATTAGAAAGGGCACAAGACTGAGCATCAATAGATCCTAGTTCTAATCCTGATTATGTCACTTGCTACCTGTGCACTCTTAGGTAAATCACTTGACCTTTCTGGGCCTCAGTCTTTGTCATCTGTAAAATGGGGTTCAACATGCCTGCCTTCTTTGCCTCACCAGATCTTTGTGAGGATAAAATAAGATAATGGCTATAAAATGTTTTACAAATATGAAAAAAAAGTAGAAAGCTCATCTTGGTCCAATTTCCAAACAAGTTAACTTTCCAAAGCCAACCCTTTCTTTACTCACGGTCATCGGAGTCATAGGAGAGGTACTCGGCCAAGAAACCTGTTTCAGTATAGGACTCATCTGAGTGGAAACGGACAGTGACCTTGTTACTGTTGCTGGAAACAACAAACTGTGCCTTCTCTCCACAGAACCTGGAGGGGAGAGGAGAGGAACACTGCTGTGCACACTGCCGTGACCATTACTGAACCCCCAGCCAATGGGGGGAAGGGGTTACGGGACCAGGAAGTAGGGTGGGAAAGCATCCACAAAGCAGGTGGGAAAACCCCCACTGGAGAGCCAGAATTTAAAGAGACCCCTGAGGGGGGGACAAAGCTGGGACCTGAGGGGAGGTTGAGGATCTAGCCACACAGGTGACAGCAAGGCTTCCCCCTCTCCCCCACCACAGAGGATTCTAGGTAGACAGCCTCTCTGAGAATTCTCAGGAATTCCTATTTCCCCAGAACACTTACTTTTCCCCATTGATTTCCACATAGTCCTTGGTGCAGGTACCCAGGGTTTCGTGAGGTTCCACCAGATAGAAGAGTTTGAAACGAATTTTGACATTTTTGTCACTGGGGACCTGCAAAGGGAGGTAAAACTTAGCAACTGTTTCCCCTCATCTATCCCAACATCCTGTAAAGGAAAGTCCCTCTCTCATCACCCCTGCTCCTAAAAAAAGGATCTAAATTTTCTTATTTACTTCATCAAATTCTTCATTACCTATCATTTCCTTCCCCTGACGTGACCCCCAATATTGGCAGCACCAAAGACATTGAAAATATGGATAATAACAACTCATGTTCAGATCTGGTGGCCCAAAGATTTCATCGCAATCTAAGCTTTAATATCTTAAGCAGCTCAGAGCTGCACTAAGATTTGGGGCCATCCTATACAGTGCTTTCAAGTTCACAAAGTCCTTTCTTCACAATGACTCTGACAGGTAGTACAAGTATGATTATCCCCGTTTCACATACGGGGAACCTGAGGGTTAAAGAGATGACATGATTTGCCCATGGTTATAGACCTAGGAAGTGGCATTGACTTGCAAGTCCAGATCTTTTGATTCTGACCAAATCTAACATCATTTGGCTTAAATTGTGGCAGAAAGGTCATAGGTTAGATCAGGGGTGGGGAACCTGTGGCTTTGAGGTGACATGTGGCACTCTAGGTGCTCAAGTGCAGCCCTTTGACTGAATCCAAACTTCACAGAATAAATTCTGCCAAAAGGCCACACTTGAGGACCTACAGGGCCACCTGTGGCCTCGAGGCTGCAGGTTCCCCACCCACGAAGAGATGTTTGGCAGAATTTTCCAACTGCAAGGGTGAGACACCAGAAATTGTTGCTAAAGGAAGTTTGTATTTCCAGCACTGGAGGGTTGTTAGAGAAGAAAGAGACTGGAATGACCTGGAGATCAGTCCTGCCTAGAAGACTATCACTCTCTCCTGTAGCCCTCTTCAAGGTGCCTAAGAACATGTAGCCTTTTCCCACCCCTTCTTCCTTCTCTCCTTCCTTATTCTACTAACTCCATAATTAGACACACCCAGCTCCTACCTCAATGTCCCATGTGCAGTCCGTATTGGGGGGGTAGTGGCCTGGGTAGTAGGGGGTATTGAATGTCCCCTCAACTCCAGTTAGGCGACCTCCACATTCTGAAAGTCAAAACACGAGAAGTGTCAGGGATCCAGAGTCAAAGAGTTTGAGTGGGAGGCATAAGAAGAGATGTATCAAATGGATTCTTTTCAATGAGAGCTTCTAGGTGAAAAGCCAAAGACACTGTCCTTTTTTGTTTTTCCCCTAATTTCTGGTGTGGGAAGAACAGCAATGATGTGAGGACCTGAAAATTCTGTGTGGTGGCTGGACATACCAAAGTCTTCACTAGCTTCCTTTAAGGTGGTCCTTTAAATCCAAGCTGCTGATTCAACCTTATAGTCAGCAGATAAAGAACAATATCCGAAGGCTGGAGTTCTTAACCTGATTTGTGCTATGGACCCTCTGACAGTCTGGTAAAGCCCATGTCGGAATAATGTTCTTGGAATGCATGAAAGACATATGATTACAAATACAAGTATATTAAAATACAGTTATCAAAATATCTTCTTAAAAAAATTTGCAGACCCCAGGTTAAGGACCCTTGCCCTTGAGACTCCAGTATTACATATTTCAAATCATCCCTTAGCTGCCCCTTAGCTGGCCCTCCAGCCTCCACTTTCCCAAGCATCCTTGCTACCAAAGGTTTCAACTGAATTTGGTAAGCATTTTTTTTCAGTAAGCATTTATTAAGAGCCTACTATACGCTGGTCACTATGTTAGGAGTTGGGTTATAAAGACAAAAAATAGTCTCTGCCCTCTAGGGGCTTACATTCTACTGGGAGAAAAGAAGTGGGGAAGAGGGAAAAAAGAACATACATACAAATAAATCAAAATAAAATCTACAAAGTAAACTGAAAGTCATTTGGAGGGAGGGAAGCAAAAACAACTGGGAATATCAGGAAAGGCCTTACATGGGAGATGGAAACTGAGCTGAGCCTTGAGGAAGGGAGCTTGAGATTCTAAGAGGCAGCGGTGAGGAGGAAGTATGTTCTAGGCATGTGGGACAGCTCATGCAAAGGTACAGAGAAAAGGGCTAGGGGGCTGTCTGAGGAACAGGAAGCACTCTGATCTAAGCTGGACCAGAGAGTGCATGAGGGGAAGTCATGTGAAATTAGTCCAATCCCATAGTCAGGGATGATAATTTTTTGTCACAAACTGGGAAGCCAGATTGCAAAAGGCTTTAAATGCTACACAAAACAATTTGTGCTTTATCCAAGCTACAATAGGGAATCACTGCAGCTTCTTAAGCAGGGGAGGAATGTGGGGAGGAACTTTTTTTAAGAATATCAATCTGGCAGCCATATAGAAGCCATGTAGGATGAGAGAGTGGAGAGGCTCAAACAGAAATCATCTGTGCTCTGTTGTTAAGCATGCCCTATGTGGGTGACAGCGGCATCTTCTAGGGAAGGGGTTCTTAATCTGAGGCCCCTGAGCTTATTTTTTAATATTTTATATGAATACAAATATAATATATTTTAATATAGTTGGTTTCCTTTTTAATCCTATGTATTTTGTTTTATGAATTTAAAAACATTATTATGAGGAGGGGGCCAGAGACTTCACCAGTCAACAGGTTCCATGACACACAAAATGTTAGGAATCCCTGCTCTAGGGTTTCCATACAACCCCCACCTCAATTCTCTTGCTGTTGTTTAATTGTTTTCAGTTGTGTCTGACTCTTCATGGCCCCTTCTGGGATTTTCTTGGCAGAGATACTGGAGTGGTTTGCCATTTGCTTTTCCAGCTCATTTTACTGATGAGGAAATTGAGGCAAACAGGGTTAAATGACTCACCCAGAGTCACACAGTTAGTAAGTGTCTACAGTCGGATTAGAACTCAAGTCTTCCTGACTCCAGGCCTGGCACTCGATGCACTGTGCCACCCAGCTGCCTACCCCATTCCCCTCACACCACCAGTATCACCACTACCCCAAACCCTTTCCTTACCAGTCATCTTGGGCAACTGGAAAAACACAGCCTTAAAACCAGGGTGGCGCCGCACAGTATTGGTGATGAGTGTGACAAGCATGACATTCTGAGAGGAGAGGAAGGTCAGGTTGTAGGAGGGAGGGTAAGTGCCACATAGCCTGCAAGAGGGGAAGGAGGGAGAGCTTGAGGGAAGAAGATGCAGGTGAACCACCCCATGCATCCTTCCCCACCTCCAACTGGATCTTAACCTTGACTCCAATCGCCAACATTTCAGGAATCAGATTTAGTGACCACTGAGCCATGCCCCCTGTCCACAGTCAGTGTTCCACTCCTGGGTCTGACAACTGAGCTGGGATGATAGCTTGGTCTGGGGAGTCCACTGATGAAATCGCTTCTGAAATGTTCCATGTTTGAATCCTCAGAACATTATTCTGTAACTCACTCCACACACTGTGCCTGTTCCTTGCTTTAGACCAGGGGTTCTTAACTTTTTAAGGTATCTTAGACCCCTTTGGCATTAGAACCTTCTCAAAACAATGTTTTTAAACACAAAATACAGAGGATTGCAAAGGAAACCAATTATATTGAAAAAGAGTTATCAATACAATAAAAAGAAAAGTTCATGAACCCCAGGCTAAAAGACCCTGCTTAGGAGTAGCTAAGTGGCATAGTGGATAGAGCACCAGCCCTGGAGTCAGGAGGATCTGAGTTCAAATCTGCCTCAGACACTCACTAGCTGTGTGACCCTGGGAAAGTCACTTAACCTTGATTGCCTTAAAAAAAAAGCCCCTGCATTAGAAGTTATAGGATGGCCTTTAGCTAAAAGCAATACTATACTTCTACACTATAAGACCAATGCCTTAAGCTTACCCTGCAGATATTATCTCAAGGCAGCACATAAGGTGACATGCATAAAGTTCTTTGTAGCCCTTAAAGCGACAGAAACACTTGCTAGTATGATCATTACATCTCATCATCTCCCTATCTATTCTCCTTATGCTACCCTGGTCTCCTTGCAGAATCAACCTGTTTGTTACCTTTCCCTCAAAGTATGGCAAGAGGCTCCAGTCCTGGCATACTCACTGCACCACGGCTCGAGGTTCTACAGGGCTCAGGGAGTCATATACCATGACCACATCACTCCCAACATCATCACAGGCTGCGACATCAAAACTTTCAAAGGTAAGGCTCAGCACCAGGTCAGCATCTCCACGCAGGGCCCACTGGCAGCGGGCACGTGCTGGGTAGGGGCTGTCTGGGAATCCTGGGGTGGTGAAGCGGGTCACCTCGCCAGACCGGGCATGTAGGGAAAAACTGCAGCTGTCTGCACAGAAGAGAATTGAAAATAAGAGAATTTGAGGGAGGGAACAATAAAGAAACAGAGAGACATAGATATAAAGAAAATACATATAATATGTACAAAATAAATATAGGATAATGGAGAGAGGACACTAGCAATGGGCAGGTGTGATGCAAATCAGGAAAAGCTTAATGGGAAAGGAATACGATGTTGAAAGAAACAAGATTCTAAGAGGCAATGGTGAGGAGAAAGGGCATTGTGTGCTTGGGAGATGGGAGATAGAAGAGCTCACATGAGGAACAGCAAGAAGGTAAGTCTAGTAGGAAAGTGGGTAATGTATAATAAGATTGTTGGAAAGGTATATTGGCACAATAATGATGTGAGGGAAAACAACTTTAAAAGACTTCAGAACTCTGATCAAAGGAACAACCAAGTAATCGTAACTTCAAAAGATTGATGATGAACTATACCCCCCACCTCCTGGCCAAAAGCTTATAAATTAGAGTTACAAAAGGAGACTTACAGTCTTAGACACGGACAATGTGCTGGTAATCTTGCTTGACTATATAAATTTGTTATAAGAGAGGGCTTCTATTTGGGGAAGAGGGTGAATTAGCGGATGCTGACATATATGGGGAAAAAAAGAAAGAGCATCAATTAAACATTTTCAAATGTCCAAAGAAGACAAAAAGTGTAAAAGGGGACATAAACTGAACGATTTTGTTACTATCCTGTTAAATTTATATATTTTACAAAAAAGAGGTTTGATTTCCAAACATAATTCTCTTTCTTGTTCTTTATACAGTGAAATATTTGTGTTTTCTTTGAAAGACTTAAGAACTCTGATCAATGCAATGCGGTGACCAACCACCATTCCAAAGGACTAATGAGGCATCCTACCTACCTCCTGACAGAGAGATAAGCTCAAGATACAGAAAGAGATAGGTGTTTTCAGACTTGGCCAATGCAAAAATTTGCTTTACTTAATTCTTCATATCTGTTACAAGGAGTTTGCTTTTTTTTTTAATGGAGGGAAATGAAAGAGAAAATACATTTTTGTTTATTAAAAAAAAGGTTTAATTTTAGAAAAAGAATTCTAATCAGTGTAGTGACCAACCACCATTCCAGAGGACCAAGGATGAACCATGCTGTCCCTTACTCCTGACAGAGAGGAGATAGATTCAAGGCGCAGATGAGACATATGGTTTTGGACCTGGTCAATGTGGTAATTTGTTTTGCTTGACTATACATATTTGTTATAAGGTTTTTGTTTTTTGTTTTGTTTTACTTAGTGTGGAGGTGAGAGAGAAAATAAATCCTTGTTAACTGACTAATATAAAAGTTCAAGAAATGCTTGGGTTTTTTTATTTTCATAATAAAAAAATAAAATTTTAAAAAGTCATGAACAATGTATAAAACTATTTATAGCAGCTCTTTTTGTGGTGGCAAAGAACTGGAAATTGAGAAGATGCCCATAAATTTAGGAATGGGTAAACAGATTATGATATATGAACATGATGGAATACTATTGTGCTGTAAGAAGTAAAGAAGGGTTCAGAAAAACCTGGGAGACTTGTATGAACTGATACAAAATGAAATGAAAATAACCAGGAGAACAATGTACACAGTAACAGCAATATTGTAACAATAATCACCTATGAGGGCAGCTAGAGCACCGGCCCTGAAGTCAGGAGGACCCGAGTTCAAATCCGGCCTCAGACCAAACACTTGACACTTACTAGCTATGTGACCCTGGGCAAGTCACTTAACCCCAACTGCCTAAACAAAAAAAATCAACTGTGAAAGAATTAGCAACTCTGACTGATACAATGATCCATGACAATTTCAAAGGACTCAAGATGAAAAATGCTATCCACCTCCAAATAGGGAACTGATGAATTCTGGGTACAGACTGAAGCATGTTTTTCTCTTTATTTTTCTTGCTTTTTTCCCCCACAACATGGCTAGTGTGAAAATATGCTTTGTACAACTCCATATGTATAATGGGTATCATATTTCTTACCGAGAGAGAGACACAGACAGACAGAGACAGAGAGAGAGAAAATTTGGAAATGAAAACAATTTTTAAAACAACAATATAAAATACAAAACAAAAAAAGTCACAAAAGAAAAAAATTAAGGTAAACTAGAGTCAGATGGTGAAAGAATTTAAAAGCCAAAGAAAGTTTATCTTTGATTCTAGAAGTCAATAGAAAGCTATTGGTATTCACTGAGAAAGACACAGTAAGACCTGTGCTACATGAAAATCACCTTTAATAGCTTTGTGGAGAATGGATTAAAGCATGGAGACACTTGAGTCAGGGAAAGAAATTAAGAGCTCAATGTAATAGCTCAGGAGATATCTATTATGGGTAAGCCAGGATGCTGACTATATGAGTAGAGAAAAGGAGATAGAGGTAAAAACTGTTTGTAGGTAGAAATGACAAAATTTGGCAACTCCATTGAGAAACAAAGTATAGCAGTCTCAAAGAAATTAATGTGTATGCACAGGGAACTCAATGGCCAACTTAGTTAAAAAAAAAAACCCACGCACAGAGAACAGCATTCCAAATGCACCAAAATATTCATAGCAGTACTTTCTAAAGAAACAAGGAACCAAAAACAAAGTAGATGCACACTGACTGGGAAATGGTTAAACAAACTGTGGTACATGAATGTGAAGGAACACTACCACATTATAATAAATAATGAATATGAAGGATTCAGAGAAACATAGGAAGACATGCACTGAATGAAATAAGCAGAACCAGGAAAACATAAATAATGAACACAATAATGAACATGGAAAAAAACAGAAAACATACTGGCTGCTATATAAATTATAATAAACGAGTCTGGCCCCAGTTGGAAAAATGTCCCCACTATCCTTCCCTTGCAGAGGTGGGATACAATGGGTATGGAATATACAGCATAAATTGTCAGGCACAAGTGATATGTTGACTGGTTTTACTAATCTGCCTTTTTCCCTCTTTCCTTTTTTTCTTACAAAAGTTAACTCTCTGGGTGGGGAAAGGGATATATTAATTAAAAAAAAGGTAATTAAAATATTTAAAAATTAAATGTAAAAATTAATATTAAAATGAGAGAGAGGGAGAGGGAGTGTAGAGTGATACAATGAAAAGAATACTGGATTTGGAGTCAGAGTCCATGTGTTCAAATTGCTTAACTTCTCCAGGTCCCAAGTCTTCATCAGTAAAATGAGGCAGCTAGGCTAACTGAGCTTGAAGGTCCCTTCCAGCTTTAAATATGCAATCCTATGCTGCAATCATAATTAGCCATGGATGACTATATAAGAGGAACATGTGCTGTAAGAATAGAGCAAGGAGTATTAACACCCAGGATGAGTTAAAGTTGTCAATGAGTAAATTTTTTTTTTACTTTTTAGGCAATTGGGGTTAAGTGACTTGCCCAAGGTCACACAGGTCAATGAATAAATATTAAAAACCGTAAGAAGGGCTGCTTTTTAGAAAAGCTACACTGGGGATGCGAGAAAGACCAAACAAGCCACTAAGACTACATCTCTTTAGCTAGGTCGCTGATTATGGACTATGACGACAGCAGAATTACTTGACATTTACTTTGTTTCTAGTTTCTTCCCCCACTCCTCACCAAGGAATAGGATTAGGAAGGATAGGATAGAAACAGCTTAGAGGGCTGAAATCAAAGATGAGTGAGGAGATGCTAAGAGAGCAACTAACTATCTTAATGAGCTCATCACCAGGTGAGCTACATCTGAGGGCACTGAAAGAACCAGCAAACATAAATGCTGAGCCTCTATCAATGATCTCTGGGAAAACTGAAAAGAACAGTATTGCACGTCTGGAGAAAGTAAATTTCCCCTAACACCCCCAACACAATTTTCAAAACAAAAAACAAAAAAAGCATAAGAAAGTACTCTTTAAACTAGATGCTAGAGAGCTTGACTTTAATTACTTCCACAATTCTAGAAAATATTGTTAAAGGGATGGGGTATGAGCACTAAGAAAGAGACACAGTGACCACTAAGGACCAACATAACTACATCAAGAACAGACTGTGCCAAACTAAATTAATTTCCTTTCTTGATGAAGTTTCTAAATTAATCAATTCCTTTCTTGATGAAGTTTCTAAATTAATCAATCAGTAGAAAGCCTTAAACATAATACACTGATATTTTAGAACATCATTTAACAGAGTCTCTCTTGATGATCTTGTGGACAAGAAGGATAGATGTGTGGTAGTTGTTAGTACAGTTACATAAATTTGGAACTGGTTAAATGAATATGCCCACAGATTAGTGATTAATGGATCTATGCCATTGGGAAAGGAGAGGAGGGAATATGTCCTACAAAATCCTACAAGGAGCTGTCCTGCGAGTTGTCTTGTTTAAGATTTTTATCAGTACCTTGGATAAAAGCATAGTTAATACTTATCAAATAGACAGATGTCACAAAACTAGGAAGAACCATTACATGCTAAACAAGAGAACTGGGACCCAAATTGATATCTAAGAATAGCCAAATCCAATGTGATAAAATTTAATGATCACCAATGCGAAGGACTACACTTGAGTTCAATCAGCTGTACAAGTACAAGATGGGGAAGTACAACTGGACAACAGTTTACATAAAAAGTTTTAGTGAATTTCAAGCTCACCATGAATCACAAAGCAGCCCAAATAAAGCTGATGCAATCTTATGTTGCACGCATAGAAACGTGCTACCCAGAATGAGGGAAAATCCCAGCTATTCTCTGCACCCTGGTCAGACCACATCTAAAGGTTATGGGTCTGCTTCTTGGCACCGCATTTCAGGAAGTATATGGGCAACAAGAGCCAGTCTAGACAAGTGTGACCAGGGTGGAGCAAGAACTAAATGACTAGAAATTAGAAATGTTCAGTCTGGAAGAGAAGAGGTAAGGTGTATTCGGTAGCTATCTTCTTTTTTTCTTTCCTTTTTTTTTTATTTTAAAGGCAATTGGGGTTAAGTGACTTGCCCAGGGTCACACAGCTAATAAGTGTCAAGTGTTTGGTCTGAGGCCAGATTTGAACTCAGTTCCTCCTGGCTCCAGGGCCAGTGCTCTATCCACTGCACCACCTCGATGCCCCTGTGGCAGCTATCTCGAAGTATGAAAGAAGAATTTAACTAAGAACAACAGGTACAAGACACAGATAGGTAGATTTCAGTAAACCTGATAGAAGTAAAGATTTCCAAGCAGTAAAAGCGATCCAGAAGTTCAGTGGGTTTCCTTGAGAGGAAGATAGTTGACTTATCACTGGATGTCTTCAAGCAGACGCTGGGCAATCCCTTTGCGGGGGGAGAGGGATCATAAAGGGGATCCCTGTGCAGAGATAGCCTACATTACACGACATCTATGGTCCCTTCTGGAGATCCTGAGATCCTCTGATTCTGTGAGGACAAATGATTAAAGGACTAAGGAGAAATCCCTAAGTATTTATTGTCTGGGGGCTTGTGCCCCTGGAAGCTACTTTGTGCAGCATCATCACAAAGACTGTGCCTTGAGGACAGCACCATCCTAGACACAGGAACCTGAAATGAGCTTCCACCCCTGAGAACTGAAGAGGTGACAGGGAGCTGCTAACAGCCACCACTAGGCTTTGAACACATCTCTGCCATTTTCCCCAGCAAAAGAAGTCAACATCTAATCAACAAACATTCATTAAGCGCCTACTATGTGCTAGGCACTATACTAAATTCTGGGGATACAAAGAAAGGCAAAATCAATGCCTGCCCTCAAGGGGCTCACACTCTAACAAAGGAGACAACAAGAAAACAACTATGTACAAACAAGCTAAATACAGAATAAATTGGAGATAGTCAATATAGGGAAGGCACTAGCATTAAGGAGGATTGAGGAAAGACTTCCTGTAGAAGGTGATATTTTAGCTAAGACCTGAAGGTGCCAGCCAAGCCAGGAGGCAGGGAGGAAGAGGGAGAGCATTCCAGGCAGTATTACTTACTGTCCCGTGTTGTCTGTGCTGTTCTGGCATCAGTGGCTAAGAAAAGAAGAGAAAGAGTAGACTATTTATGGGGTCTGTGTATTTCCTTATCTCTTGCTTCCTTATTACCCTAAAGGGAGGAGCTCTGTCAATAAGCCAAGAAATCAGATCCCCCGTGCAAGACTGCTGGATCTGTCTATTCTATTAAAAAAAAAAGGGGTGGGGGGGGTTTCTATAGATTGACCCTTGAAGGACAGATCTGAACCTGCCAGGCTCTGACTCAGCCCTTGTCTTTTCCCCATCCCTCTTCCTTCTTTATTCCTTGTTCCTATTCCCTCCGGTTTATCCATTCACCTCTAAGCCCAGAACTCACGGAAAGCCACAATTGAAGCCATGTTGAAGGACTGCAAGGACCGGGACCTGGGAGGTAGTGACACGACATATTCTTTTGATATGGCTCGCTCAGCCTCCTCTACCATATATTGGGGGACACTGAATTCCGACCAGTAGTAGGCAATGACACTGCCCTCACTGAAAAGAGAGAAGGATGTGAAATAGTTAGGTTTGTCAATCAGTCGATTAAGCACTCACTGTGTGCTAGGCACTGGGCTAAGCATTGGGGATACAAAGAAACACAAAAGATAGTTCCTGCTCTCAAGGAGCTCAGTCTAATGGGGGAGATATTGCACAAACAATGTGTATACAGGATAAATTGGGAGTAATCAATGGAGAGAAAACACTAGAACTAAGGTCTGTGTCTGCAGGGAGTAGAGGAAGGGTCCTGACTCACATAGATGGGCTCTGGAACCACCCAAACTAGGATCATAAATACACCCTCAGTTCATGCCCTGATTTAGAACCTCCAGTCTTTTCTCCCCAGCTCTCTAGACAAGAAAGGTGTCTATCTCCCCAAAAAGTGTGGCAATGGACAGAGCCTCGGACATGGACTCAGGAAGTCCTGGGTTTGAATTGTGCCTCAAACATTTACTAGCTGGATGACCATGGGCATGTTACTTAACCTTTCTCAATAAATTGGGGATAATAACAGTAATGCCTACTTCATAGGATTGTTGGGAAGATCAATTAAGACAATTAAAGCACTTTGCAACCCTTATGGGGCTCGGTAAATGTCAGCTCTTATTATTACTGTTGATATTCTAGCTTCTCTTTAATTAGACTTTATTAAGTAATAACAGCCACTTGCATTTATATAGACCTTTAAAGTTTACAAAGTGCTTTCTTTTCCACAATCTTCACAACGGACTCTCATAAAGGGGAGGTGACTTTGCCCACAGTGACATGGCTGAAAAAGGTCAGAGATCAAATTTGAACTCAGGTCTTCTGAATCCAAGTCTAGGACTCTTTCCACTACACCTTCTGTTCCCATGTAAAAGATTGTTTCCTTGTTCCTCTAGGGCTCTAGCCATCTGGTATTGACTCATTTTGCCTTACCAGAACCCAACCAAGGGCTAATTCAGGTTCCGAATGACCCACTTGTTTCTCCAAATGAGAATAACGGTAAGGGCTCCCCTACAGCTCATATAACCCATACTGCCAATATTCCTCAGGTCACCTAAATGGAAATTCCGGATGACTCCCACCACCCTAATACATTTGCAAAAGGGGCAGGTCACTCCCAAGTAAAGATGCTTTGCTTTTTCCTTTTTGATCCTCTTGCCCCATCTCCCATCTACCCTCTACTCCCAGGACCTTACCTGAAGGCTGTTATTCCAGATTCCTTGTAGAAGGGCCCAAGGGCTGAGATTCCATTGTATAAAACCTTTAGCTGCCAAGGAGCACAAGGTGGACACAGAAAATAGAAGAAGAAGAAGAAGGAAAGGTCACAGCAGACCCCACTGACTGGCTTGCACATGCCCTGCATTTCCTACCTACCACACCCAGGAACCCTATGTCTATTCTCAGACACTTTCCCACCCAGTGCTCTTGACAGACCAATACTCAACCCCGGGGTCATTAATGGGAGTGGAAAGATATAGAGGCAAGGCAGCTATGCCTCCTCGCCTGGACAGCTTCATCCTGGAAGAGGCAGCTTACCGCTTCCTTAACCTTGCTGGCCAGCTTTGCAAATTCTGTGGAGTTGGAATTCTCATAGGCATCTATAAAGTTCTCATTTGTAATCCTCAGGTAACCATTGAAGATTTTCTGCACCCGTGCATTCTGAGCTATAAGAAACCAAGGAAAGTAAAACAAATGAGAAGATTGGGACTGTGCCTTCCACCAGTCCACTATTTTAGACTCTCCCTCCAACAATGTCCCACCATCATTATAAAATAAGGCGGCTGAGCCAGATGGACTCTAAAGTCCTTTCCAGTTTTAGCTCTAAGACCTTAGGTCCTAGGACATTTGCCCCATGTCAGCAATGCCAGGAGATGGGGCAAAGCAATGAGCCTATGTCTCTCCCCGCCCCATCCCTTATCCTATCACACCAACACTCTGGGGTCTCCTAGCTTAGATTCCAGAGTCCAGAGGAATCCAAGAAGAAGGACACCTAGTCTGGTCTGGACACCTAGACCACAGGTGTCAAACATGTGACGCCAAGTGAAGCTCAAATCAGATTAAAATGTAAGTGGGAAATATTTAATAAAATAAATAAAAATACAATTAAACATAGATAATATTAATGTGTGGTTTTCTACATCAATATGTGGCCCACAGGGATCCTTATGTCTACGTTAGTGGCCTCCATGTCTATTCAATTTGAGATCACTGTCTTAGACTACATGTAATTATAACCTGTCCATCCCCAACCATTATTTTTCCATCAGACCATCACTCAGGCTTTCCATTGCCCCCACTCACCGACCACTCCCTCTACCTATTGGTATATTAACGGCACCTTTTCCTGTACTCACAGTTAAAATGCCACACCAAGATTCCAACCACAAGGGACAACAGGATGAAGAAGATCACCAATGCCAGCAGCACAATCCAGCGCTTTGGTCCACGTTTTTCCACCTTCCTTGAATTGTTAGCTGGCAAGAATTCCACTCCTTCCTCAAAGCCATTTATATTCTAGAATGGAGGAGAGAGAAACATAGAATCATTTGTTTAAATCTGGGAGAGCGTCAAGGTCATCTAAATCAAGCCACTCAAATTAATAAGTGAAAAAAACTGAGACCCAGAGGAGTAAAGTGGGTTAGTCTGAGAAACAAGTGGCAGTGCCAGGATCTGAATCCATTTGACTCTAGGGCAGTTAGGTGGCACAACGGAAAGAGCATCTGCTCTGGAGTCAGGAGAACCTGACTTCAAATGCAGTCTCAGACACTTCCTAGCTGTGTGACCCTGGGCAAGTCATTTAACCCTGTTTGCCTTAGTTTCCTCACCTGTAAAATAAGCTGGAGAAGGAAATGGCAAACCACTTCAGTCTCTTTGCCAAAAAAACAAAAACAAAAACCAAAACCCAAATGGGGTCATGAAGAGTTAGACATGACTGAAAATGACAATATGCTCCAGGCACTGTGCTAATTATTGAGAATACAAAGAAAGGCAAAAGACAGCCCTTTCTTTCAAGGACTTTACAGTCAGGCAAGGACAGAGCCTCGGGGCACACCCATAGTTAGAGGGCATGACCTGGACCTAGCAACAGGAATAAAGAGCAGTTCAGACAGGTAGGAAGAAAAGCAGCAGAAATCAGCTTACAAAAACCTAGAGAGGAGAAAGAGTCAAGGAGAAGAGGGTGATCAGAAGTGTCCAAAGCTGCAGAGAGGTCAAGAAGGATGAAGGGTGAGAAAAGGCCACTCGATGTGACAATTAAGGTGCTATTGAATACCAATAGAAATTGCTCTCTCAAAGATCAGCAGCAATCTCTTGATTGCTAAAGCAATTTTCCCCCTCAGTCTTCATCAGTCATGACCCTTCTGACCCCTAGCTTTTTCCTCCCTTGATCTTGGGGACATTAGTCACTCTTGGCTCTCCTCCTGCCTTCTGAGGCTCCTTTGTAGGATTCATCATTCATGTCTCATCCCCTGAGTGTCCTCTGGACTCTGTTCCGAGTCTCTGTTTTCTATCTATCTCTGCTCTCTCAGTGATCTCATCACTTCCCATGGATTCAACTGCCATCTCTAAACAGATTACTCCCAAATAGCTATAACCAACCCTGATCTCTCATCTGAAATCTCATCCCTCACTTTCAATCAATATTTATTTAGCACTTCTCTGCCAGGGGCAGTGCTAGGTGTTGGAGAAGTAAATACAAAGAATGAAACAATCCCTACTCACAAAGGACTTACGTTCTAATGGAAGAGACAACTGCATAGAAGAATATTTATAGTAAAAATATGAAACTTAAAAAATGTATACAAAGTAGTTAAATATGAGCTGGGGAGAGAAGGCATTAGAGGTTGGTGGGAATGGAGAGAGTCAGAAGATGGTGTTTTACTGCATCTTAAAGGAAGAGAGAGGGGCAGCTAGGTGGTACAGTGGATAGAGCACCAGCCTTGGAGTCAGGAGGACCTGAGTTCAAATCTGGTCTCAGACCAAACACTTGACACTTAGTAGCTGTGTGACCCTGGGCAAGTCACTTAACCCCAACTGCCTCACAAAAAAAAAAAAAGGAAGAGAGGTATTCTGTGAGGCATAGGATAAGAATGAAATGCTAGTTATGGGGAATAGTCCTTTGCAAAGGCACAGAGATAGGAGTGTCATGTGTGACGAACAGAAAGGAAGCCTAGTTTGCCTGGTTCACAAAGTGCAGCCAGTGAGGATGGAAAGATGGGCTGCAGCCAGGCTGTTAAGGGCCTTAAAGGCTAAACAGAAAACCAATGGAGTTTGGATAAGTAAAGGAGGCAGACAATCAGATCTGTGTTTAAGGAAAATTACTTTGGCAGCAGTGTATGGGATAGACTTGAGTGGCAAGAGACAAGACAGAGAGACCAACTGGTAAGGAGGCTGCTGCAATATTCTAGGCTCGAGGTGATGAGGTCCTGAACTAAGGCAGAACCTGTTTTGAGTGGAAAGGAGTCAACATCTGAGAGATATATATGAAGGTCTAAACAGCCACGATTTGGCAACTGATTGCATATGCAAGGTGAGGGAAAGCAAGGAGTCTAGGATAATGCCAGGATTATGAACTTGAGAGAATAGAAGGATTGTTGTGTCTTAGACAGAAATAATAAAAATAATGTTTAGTTGTTTTTCAGTCATGTCTGACTCTTTGTGACCTCTTTTGAGTTTTTCTTGGCAAAGATACTGGAGAGATTTGCTATTTTCTTCTCCGGCTCATTTTACAAATAAGGAAACTGAGGCAAAAAGGATTGATTTGCTCAGCTAGCAAGCATCTGATGCCAGATTTTAACTTAGATCTATTCCTGATTCTAGATCCAGTGCTCTATCCACTATATCACCTAGCTGTCAGTAGGGTATTTTGGTAGAGAGAAGGGTTTAGGGTGAAAGGTCCACTGTAAACATGTTGCAGGCTGAGAGGTTGAGAGGTTGTGACCCCTCAAGGACCGGAATACAGGATGGGTCGTCTGGAATGAATTCACAGACTCAAGCATTCTTTCAGCCAAGGTGGCAAAATTTATTGTTATGCTTTTCAGTGGGCAAGGATTCTTAAAGGATCCTGCAACCTTAGAGAGGTACAGTTAAAGTTTATATAGGATAAAATACAATAAAACATGTGCCAGATATGCTAACTAGGGAATTCAGGGTGGGATTAGGAAGTAGTTAAGGAGTGGTCAGTTCTTAAAAGAACATGCACTTCTTGTACCTACTGCGCAGGCATTTTACCCAGAGTTCATTAGGAAAAGCCCACAAGGGGGGCCACATGGAGGTGTGGTTTTAGGCCTGCTACATCACTAAATCAACTAGAGTTCAGGGTAACTGAGAGTTGTCCAGTCTGCCACCAATCAATGTCTTGTTAGACAAGATAGATGTAGGGAGTATACATATGTCTTAAGTCTAGAACACAGTTAATGAGGAGCCCAGGATGTAATGTGGTAGGGCGGTAGGATAGTATAGTAGTGGGTAAGAATGTCTTTATGACCCAGTGCAAAGCCAGTTTAAACTAATAAATCCTTCAGGTGCTGTTTGGAACTGCACCAGGGAGAGAGATAAGGGTCTTGCTGGGGCCCACTCATGAGTAATTGCTAAGCACAGGGTCCTTGGGCTTGGGAGAAACTGTCAGGGACAATGTTTCTGAGGCTAGAGAGAAACTGGGGTCCAAGTACAAGCACCCAAGCATAAGCATCCAAGCACCCCGTCAAACACATTGATTTTAAAACGTCTCTGGGACATCCAGTTCGAAACGTATAGACAAATAGCAATTTGTGATTGAAACTCAAAGGAAAGACTGGGGAAGTAAATACAGATCTGGGAGTCATCTGCAGAGAGATGATGTGCAGATGACTGGATAGAAGCATCTATGGGAAGCAAAGAGGTTACCAAGAAAGAGTATAAAAGAAGAAGAGGGCCTACGGCAGAACTCTGGCAAACACCTACAGTTAGGGAGGGGTGTGATGAGGATGATGAGCCAGCAGAAGAGACTGATGGATGGGACGAGGACCAGGAAAGAGAGCTGTCATAAAAACCCAGAGAGAGGAGGTATTCCTGGAAGAAGGTGATCAGCAATTTGAAAAGCAACTGATGGGTTGAGAAGAATTAGGCCTGAGAAAAGATTATCAGATATAGCAATTGAGAAATCACTGGTCACTTTGGAGAGAGCAATTTCAGCTGGAAGCCAGGATTCAAAAGTGTTCAGGAGTAAGAGGAGGAGGAGGAGGAGGAGGAGGAGGAGAAGAAGAAGAAGAAGAAGAAGAAGAAGAAGAAGAAGAAGAAGAAGAAGAAAAGAAGAAGAAGAAGAGGAGGAGGAGGAGGAGGAGGAGGAGGAGGAGGAGGAGGAGGAGGAGGAAGAAGAAGAAGAAGAAGAGGAGGAGGAGGAGGAAGAGGAAGAAGAGGAAGAAGAAGAAGAAGATCTTCACCTGGATGCACTGTAAGCATCTCAAACTCAACATGTCCAAAGTAGAACTCATTATATTTTCCTCCAAACTCTCTCTAAACTTCTCAATTTCTGCCGAGGCTACCCCTACCCTTTCTGTCACCCAGGTTCCCACTCTTAGAGTCATCCTTGACTTTTCCTCCCTCCCGACTATCCTATCAGTTGCTAATTTTTACTGACTCTAGTTCTACCACATCTCTGACACCTATCAGCTTCTCTGCACTCACTTAGGCTCTACCTTACTTCAGACTTTCCTGAATTCTCACATCACCATCTGCCTTTTGGACATCTACAACTCAATGTCAAGTAGATATCTCAAACTCAGTATGTCCAAAACAGAACTCATCTTTCCCCTCAACTTTCCCTATTACTTTCAAGGGTGTCGAAATCCTCCCAGTCACCTAGGCTCACCACATGACGTCATCCTCAACTCCTCATTCAAAGTCACCCCACGCACCCCATCTGTGGACAAGCTCTGTTATTTCTACCTTCATAACATGCGCAGTATATGCCACTTTCTCTCCACTTACATAGCCCTCCTCCTCCTCTAGACTACTGGAATAGCCATATGATTGATTTCCCCACCTCAAGGTTCTCCCACACTCTACTCAGTTGCCAAAGTGAAGATTCTGACCATGTTACCCCTCACTACTCAGTAAACTCCATTGGCTTGCTATTGCCTCCATGACCTGGTCCCTCCTTCTACCTCTCCAGTCTCCTTACACTTGGTTCTCTTCCAGGTTCAGTAATACTGGCCTTCTTACTGTTCCTTGCACACAACACGGTCTCTCTGACCAAGTCTTTTCGCTGGCTCTCTTCCATGCCTAGAATATTCGCCCCCGCTTCCACCTCCTGGCTTCCTTTACGACTCAGCTCCAATGCTACCTTCTGAAGGATTCCTTTCTCATTGTCTACACCTTCCTCTGATGTCATTCTCCACCCTCTTCTAATGTCATCCTCTGAGATTGCCTCCTTTTATTTATTACAGATTACACTGTACATATGTGTATATAAATAATTACTTGCATCTTGCCTCCCTCATTAGAAGTTCCCTGAAGTTATCCACCATGGTTTTGCC